ATATATATATATATATATATATATATATATATATATTGCATATGTTTATTATTAAAATTTTTCTTTTTTTGATAATATTTTAGATTTTTTAAAGGATTTAATAAAAATATTTTTTCAGTATTTAGAAAACCAACAAGTTTTAAAGATAATATAGCATGAGGATAATTAATTTTAATTTTCATTATTCTTTATTGCTTCTCTACCTTGAACTTTATATATCTTATATATCATTTTTGTTATTGTGTTGTTGCTGTTTATTTTTACTAAAAACAACTTTTGATATCTCCAGATTAATTCTTATTCTTAATATAAAAACATACCTTTCTATGTAATTTATTTCTTTCTCTACAGAATTCTTCTTAGTTATCTTTTTTCTTTTGATTCTTTTTCTTCTGTCTTTTTTGTATTATCCATAGTTTTTGTCTTTTATATTGTGCGTTCTGTTTCTTCTGTCATCTATATTTTCTATTTTTTCTATATGTTATCTATATATTTTATCACATCCATATTTTTTATTTTTTTTATATAATTTTACATCACTTCAAATTCTATAAAATTCTTTTTCTATATTATATTTTTAGCTTTTTTATTTAAATAATCTAATATAAAATTATTTAATTCTTTCTTCCTATCAAAAAGATCTATATTACATTTTTCTTTAATCTTAATTTTTTGATAATCATGGCTTTAAAATTTAATATATATGCTCAAGAATAGTCAATTCATAAATGTGAAAAAATTCTTCGTTCGAAATATCTGCCTTTTTTTTCCCGAGATATTTCCGGGTATACAGAAATGTTATTCTTAGACATCGTATATTCATCTTTGATATTTTGCTGCGTAATTGATTTTGATTTTTCTAATAGTTTTTATTTTTTTTCCCTTTTTTTTCATAATTTTTATTCCTTCTTTAGTTTAAAATTATTTTTTAAACTTTTATTTGTAAATATTATTCCTAAATAAAATATATATACATTCTTATCTTTTCTAGCCTCAACTTCTGTTAATAATCTTATTTTCAATATTTTCAAGGTTGGCAATTCTTCTTATACTTCAATAATGATTCTAAAATTTTCGTATTTTCGTCGAAAATAAAAAATACTGCATAATAATAATATTATTAATATATCGTTAATAAATTCTTTTACAAGTTCTATTTCCATTTCTTTCAATTTGTCAATTATATCAAGTTTCTTATATGATTATTCATATCGTTATTTTTTTGCATTTTATAATTAATTGTTTTAGCAACATTGTTTTACGAATGGGATCGATCATCTGATGTAATTATTTTATGTAATTATTTTTTCTTCCATATTTTTTTTATAATATGCAATTCTTTATCTGCCACAGGATTCATCAGCTATAATATAATAATTGATCTTGCCTTGCGATCTAAGTTAAATCCTATTTTTTAGCATTTTTTGCAATTCTAACCTTCACTAGAAACATTCTCATGTATCATTCTTTATTAATAACGCATTATTAATAATGTATTTAGATTTTCCATATATTGAAATTTTCCTTATCCAAAGATTCTATTTTTACTATTGTATAACTCGTTATTATTTTATTTTAATTATATACTTTCCAAATTTTGTTTTCTTTCTTCATTTTTTTTTCAAAGATAGCATACTAATAAACAATCAAGAGGGCGCTTGCATTGATTCGATTATTGTTTTCTCGCTATGATATAATTTGATTCGTTGATGTGAAAATTTTGATCGAATTATTTTATATTAGAAATAATCAATCACTTCTTTCTTCTGTGTATCTTTAACATTACAATTATATTTATTTAGATCTATAGGTTTATGAAAGAAATAATATCTCTTAATTAATAATTTAATAAAATAGAAACTTTATTAATTAACAAGAATTAATTTATTGAAAATATTTGAAGATATTTGAAGACAAAAAGTATTAAACATTTAAAAAGTTCATTATTAATTAAAAATAATAGGATATAAATAATGCTTAAATCAAATTTTGCAATAATAAAATTCAAGTTAAGCATCATTAGAGTAATAACCAATAGAATAAATAATAATAAATAATAAATTATTAATATTAAATATAATTATTATTAATATAAAATAATTTGACATATATGAATAACTTATTTTTAATGTATTATAAATTATTGTTGTTGGGATTTTTTTTAAATATAAATAGAAGTCTTAAATATAAATTTAAATAATAAATAATAAATAAGAATTTAAATCCTTGTTTAATTCAAAAAGAATTATATATATAATTAAAAGAATTTAATTAAAGATATTTATCTAAATTTATATTATAAAAATATAAAATATTATAAAATTAATATATATATCATATTGCTTAAAAGTTTTGAACTTATCTAGATTATATTTATAATATATGAAAAGAAATAAAATAAAAAGCAATATAACAATATACTTTGAATAAATTTATTATTTTATTAGGTTAAGTTATTTTATTTACATGAATGATTTTATATGAATTAGAAATCATTTAACAACGCACTATCATATCAATTTATATATATATTCATTATTATATATATTTTAGAAGAATGTACTTGTATATGGTCGT